GTTTGGTCCCAACAAAAGTACCTGGAACCCCCCACCCCGCCCCCGCACAGAATTGCAAGGTGATGTATCTGAGAGGAAAAGAAAGGCCCGTGAGAACATGTGTGATAATGACTAATGCCACAGGCTTGTCAGATAAATACGCAACACTGGCTAAACTTGAATTTCAGATAAACAGCACATCTAAGTATGCCTCAAATATTGCACACATAGTTTTTCGTTTTTTGGTTTTTTTAAATTTATTTGACAGAGAGAAACACAGCGAAAGAGGGAACACAAGCAGGGGGAGAGGGAGAGGGAGAAGCAGGCTTCCCGCTGAGCAGGGAGCCCGATGTGGGGCTCGATCCCAGGACCCCAGGACCATGACCTGAGCCGAAGGCAGACGCCCAACGACTGAGCCACCCAGGCGCCCCTGCACACATAGTTTTAATATAAGTGGTGTCCCAAGTATTAGATGAGACGTACTTATACGTAAAAAAAAATTATGTGTTGTTTATCTGCACCTCACATTTAGCTGGGCATCCTGTGTTTTTATTTGCTGAATGGGACAGTCCCAGATAAAGTGTGTGGAGGGGCCGGGAGAAAACCAGAAACGAAACTGGAAGGGTTACTCTCTTGGGGTAGCTCTGCAACCTCAACCCCACCACGCCCCCTCTAAGCAGAGCTGGGGAAGATGCCTTCTCATATTTTGCAGTGGTGCCCAGTTACACCGCTGTATTTAGGAAATTGCTTTTCATTAACGGAGCCCCGGGGTGATGGTGGATAACGTGTATGGACCCCTTGGAGAATCGGAAGAGAGCTGTGGACCCTTACAGAAAAATGAACCTACCCGCTTGATACATGTGTGAGTGTTTGTGCCATGCGCACAGAGACACGTAAAATTTCAGGGAGTTCCAAGCCTTCACATAAGAGCGACACATTCCTTCTAGGGCTGTGGTCTCAGTGTGGCAGTTCTAGACCCTGAGTAGGAGGAAATGGTGTCCAGTCAGAACCTAAACTGAAACATGGCGTTTCTCCTAGCTCTGGCCACCCCCATACATGACAAAACCCAGAAGTGGGCAGCAAGAAACATTCAGTCCCTCCCCTTCGCAAATGCCTTGAACCTTTTTCCTCTTCCACTTCTCACCAGGGAATCAGGCATATTTGGACAGAAGACCCACCAGCCCTTGTGCACTTACGCCTCAGCCTCATTCAGGAAGGCACTGAATGAAATCAGTCCCTATTCCAAGACCCTCTTTGCTCCCCTCCCCGCCCTTCTTGCCAGGGCAGACAGAGCCTACTGGTTCTAAGGACTACGTCTGTCAGAAATTGCCTTTCATCAGTAGGTGAAAACCTTGCAGAGTAAATTCTGGATGCTCTGAGCTGGGTGATCAAAGCCATGGCTGGAACATTTTGGGAGCAGATCCTGGAGCAGGGTGTTCCAAGTCTCCAAGTCTCCCTCCTACGGCCCTTACTGGAAAGCTGTCTGATCCCCACAGCCTGCTCTCCTCCCAACCCTATAGAGGGAAGGCAGAAGTGACCCAGTCCAGGGGGATGTTGTTTTCAGACGCTCTCCAAATGTTCTAAATTATGTAAAAACCTCATTGTCGGTTGCTTCCATCTTTGTCAGCATGTTTGTGTGACATTCCAGGGTCAGTGGACTGCATTGTGGAATAAGGCCCCCAGACTGACCCAAGTTGTATTGAGCGAACAATCGTAAGGATAGATCCTATGATGTATTATCATAGAACATTTTACATTGAACATTTTTTGTAACTAAAAAATTATCTCATCTACACTACGGTATGATTTCCAACTATAATTTCTTTGGAAGAAGGGTCCTTTATTCTGAGCTTTTCCTAAAATTTTTAGAGTTAAAATGACTTGTAAGTGATATTGGTGATAGGTTTTTTGTTTTTTTTTTAATGTCCTTACTTTTTAAAAAAAAAAAAAAGGAAAGCCAGCCCTCCAAATTATTTGGAAATTCTACTGGACCAGGAAATCCAAATGGCTGGGAACCAGTGGCTTAGCTCCCTGACCTCTGACATGTGGGAAGTGGAGGCTCACTTCTGGGCCCTGCCTTCCCACAGCCATGGGACTTCCAGCCGATGCGCTCTGGGGGGTTTCAGGCATATATATATGTATATATATAAACAAAAGGGGAGACTTGTCCTGGCCTAAGCTCTCCCCAGGAGTGTTGGGAGGACAAATTTTCAGGAACTAAAGAGCTTTGGGAAAGGAATTCCATAAACATATGAGATTGTGGCTCTTGAAGACAGCTGGTGTGTTTTCAGTGAGAAGGGTTGAACGATCCCACAGAGACCCAGGATAATTTCTCTGCCACAGCATCTGGAGAAAGTGACCAGCACCACCACTCATTAAATGTGCAAACTGTTCCACCGAGAAGTGGGACCAGACAGCACAGGCAATGGGTCTCCTGAGGAACTTTGCTTCTCCCCCTCTGAGGGCACAGGTCCAAGATGTGACTAGGACTCAGGGAACCTTGAATTCTAATTAATCTTGTAGGCACATACCCAAGGACCTACCACAGGCCCCCCAGCCTTCCCTAACTTGTTTTTCCCATTTCTGTAAGGGACAGGGGCTTGCTCGGTCTTCTTCTGCCAGGGTGTCACAGGACTGTGGGAAAACACATCATCCGTTCCTAAATGCCTCGCCTGAGAGATGGTCCACAGGGAATGTTTAATTACTGTCCCTTTAAAAACAGTGTAGATTTTCTTTCTTTTAATGTTTAATTCCGAATAGCTTTCCCCATGTTGTTACCCCAAATCACATTGGTGGGTCCCTGCCCTTGCACGAGGCCACGTTGTGTCCAGGAGATGGACAAACTGCTTTTCCATGAGCCTGAGCACCAACAGCAGAGGTCAACCTGATGGTTTGACCAAAATAGGCGTTCAGTACAGTACACCCCCAACTGAAAACATAGTGTTCAGGGAGACTTGTGTATTGGCTCCCTCCCCTCTACACAGAGCTGAGAATTAACTACAGATGAAAAGTCCTTTGATCTTGAGAAACCTGAGGCATCAGGCCGCCCAGGGTTAGCGATCAACACTCCCTTTTGTTGGAACTTGCCTGGCATTTCACATTTATCAGCCCTTATGCCCTGACAGAGCACTGCTGACTTCGGTCAAACTTGGCACGCTCGGGTCCCCCCGATCCGGGAGGTAAGCATGCCACCAGGTGCGGCGGCAGCTCAGGCCGCATCTCCACCTGTCTCCCCTTTGGGCTGAACGACCGCCTCAGGGCAGAGCCCCTGCTCCCACTTGACCTGACTGATGGCAGGAGTATGGGGGGCGGGGGGAGGTGGGCAGTTGAAAACCCCATTTCCCACTTGGCTCCGCTGCCTGCACCTTTCATCTTCCCACATGCTGCAGCTCAAGCCTCGCCTTGCCCAGACACTCGGTTGTTGGCGCTGTGCGTCTGATTTGTTTACCTGGCTCCCTATGAGACTGTGAGTCCGCCCCCAGAGAGTAAGTACTGGTCCTACTCAGCTTTGAACTCCCAGCAAGTTCACAGGATGTGGCACACAGGAGTGATGGGTTAGACGGGCAGACGGGGGGCTGAGCAGACACTCCAGCAGCGGGCTCTTGGCACAGAGTAGGCAGGACGTACCTGGCGGCAGGTGAGAGCCACGCTGGGCTCTTGAAGATTCTGTTTTGCTCTTGGTGCCTAGCATTAGGCATCTCTGAGACAGCTAGTTGGGAAGGGCAGGGGCTGGAGGTGGAGGGGACTGGTCTGATGGTCGGGGGAACGGGCCTGTAGGCCCCTGGCAGTGGTCACACGCTCTGACCACCTATCCAATCCACAGAAGACAGTTTGGAAGGACTATCAATCCAGAAGGGAAGGGGCTAATCGAGGCAAACTTTGGGATGAAAAAACCCAAAAAAAACAAAAAACCAGAGGGGAGAGGGGTGGAGAAGGAAGGAAATTCAGCCAGATGTACTTAAAACCTCTTCTCTCAAGGAGGAGTTCAAAATGCGAGGGGGCCTTTGGGGGCGGAGCTGCAGCGACACCAGGGCCCCTAGAGAGCAACACGAGTGCCAGTGAGGCTGGCTTGAAAGGCTGGGGAGGGGTGGTGAGGCAGCCGCTCAGGAAGGAGGCTGGGCTCCCAGCTGGAGAGCCAAGGGGCTGGGGCTGCTGAACAGATGGAGTGAAAGTTGCAGCTGGTGGCAATGCACTTTCATGTGTAAAGTTTGGTCCGTGGAGGATTGCGATTTCCAGCTCTGAAGGCGGCCGTGGGCAGGTGGCTCTGCTCCATGCTCCGCCTTCTCCCCCCACCGCCACCCAGGAAACTGGAGAGAGGCTCTGTGCCAGCACCCAGCCACCATGCCTTCCGCCAGCATCCCTTTCAACAGGCAGAAGCTGGCATGGGGACACCTTGGCGCGGCCACGGCGGCAGAGGACGGCAATGCTTTAGCAGCCGAAGGGAAAAGGGGAATAGGATTAATCCAGCCTCCCCAGGAGGGGACCAGGTGGACCGAGAACAGATTCGGAGACGGAGGGAGGGAATCGACCTTCCCAAGCTGTTCATGATACATACACTGGGTCCCCACTCGGCTTGTCTGAGCTCTGGCTGAAGAGGAGGCCATGGGGAAATGTGAAAACACAGCAGACTCTGAGGCTCTGGGCTCATTTCCCCCCCAACCTCAAGGGAGGTTTCTTGAGGAAAGACTGTATCTGGAGTTTTTAAAGAAATATTTGCCCACCAGAGCTTGAAGTGATAAAGTGATTTTGACATTCTCTGGCTCTAACAGCCAGCCACCTGTCCTGGCAGATTTAGACCCTCACCTGCGGGAATAGAGGCCACAAGCCCAAATGCAAAACTAGTCAAGTTCCTCCCTACAATGCTTGGACTCTTGGGGGAATTAGCCACCCAACCGGGTTTCCTACACCTGAGAGGGAGCTTGGGCAAAGAGCATCAAGCTCTGCCTCTTCCCATCCCCTTCTCTCTTCGCGTTAGGTTGTGCTCCAGGTCATCCAGAACAGAAACTGCCAACTCTTTTAACTCTTGTTAAAATCAAAGTGCCTTTTTTTAGAATATGTGATTTTGCTTCCTTTTCTTAAAAAACAAACAAAAAAAACAAAACAAAGAACACAAAAACCAAAAACAGACTGGAACCCAGTCCTTTATCCCTATTGTGTCCATTTGCCCAAGAGATGTCCATATTTGAGATAATAACTTAAATATTCTTGAAGTGGAGGTAGTCTCTGACTTCCTAGTGGGATGTCTTCTTGGCTCCTTTCCCAAACTTGGCATCGAGACCGAGACCTATGAAAAGGGAGAAGATGGGCTTAGCCTTACGAGGAGAAATGAAACCTACCAATGGTTTTGACAGTGGCATGGGGGGATGGGAAGGTCAGCCTTGGTTCTCCAAAATTGGGGCTTTAAAGAAAACTAACTCCAAACACTGGTTTTATAGAACTCCCTCAGAGAAAAAGTATGGCATCAAATGAGAAAAATCACCAAGACACAGGTAATTATGTATATATAATAAAATACAGTAGAACTAAAAGAAAAAATGTCAAAACTTTAGCTAGTTCTCTCAGCTCATCCACAGCAGCACAACTTGGTAGGGAGTAAGTTTAACAATTTTATCCTGTTCAGTGTCTGAGGAAGCCCATGTCACTGGAGGATAAAATGAAATGCTCATTAGGAAGGGTGGATTAGAGGCAATGCTTCCTTTCCTTTTTTAAAAACATCTTCTCTAAAATAACTAAATAGGGGCGCCTGGGTGGCTCAGTCGTTAAGCGTCTGCCTTCGGCTCGGGTCATGGTCCCAGGGTCCTGGGATTGAGACCCACATCGGGCTCCCAGCTCCGCGGGAAGCCTGCTTCTCCCTCTCCCTCTCCCCCTGCTTGTGTTCCCTCTCTCGCTGTCTCTCTCTCTGTCAAATAAGTAAATAAAATCTTAAAAAAAAAAAAAAAAAAAAGAGCATCTGTATTTAAAAAATAAATAAATAAAATAAAATAACTAAATCACTTTTTTTTTTATTTTTAAAGATTTTATTTATTTGACACAGAGAGAGGGAACACAAGCAGGAGGAGTGGAAGAGGGAGAAGCAGGCTTCCTGTGTAACAGGGAGCCCAATGCGGGGCTCGATCCCAGGACCCTGGGATCACGACCTGAGCAGAAGGCAGACAGACGCTTAACGACTGAGCCACCCAGGCGCCCCACTAAATCACTTTCATAAATATACATTTCAGGAAAAGAAATATCTAAAGCTCTCTCACACGGTACCTGGGTGGCTCGGTCGGTTAAGCGTCCGACTCTTGATTTCTGCTCAGGTCACGATCTCAGAGTCCTGAGATCGAACCCCGAGGTGGGCTCCACACTGAGCGGGGAGGCTACTTGGGATTCTCTCTCCCTCTCCTTCTGCTCCTCCCCGCTCCCTCAGTCTCTCTCTCAAAAACTTAATTAATTAAAAGAAAAAAGAAAAAAGCAAGCCCTCAGACTGTTGCTGCACACGCCCAGACACGTGAGCTCTGCGCGGAACTTACCCAAGAACACGAGTACGGTGCCCACCCACTGCAGCTGGCTGATTGGGTTGGCGAAGAGAATCACAGAGGCCAAAATGGTGAAGAACTTTCGAGTCGTGGTGATGATGGAGCAGGTCAGGGGGCCAAAATACACAACTGTCATGAAGATGAAGCTCTAGAGAGACCGAGAAAGCGGGGTCAGGCTGGCTCTTGGGGCTCTGCCCCAAGGTCAAAGTCTGTGACAGGACATCAGGGCTGGGCTTGCCGCCCTCTTCTTCCAGCCGGGTCGGGCTCCCTTGGGGAAGCCAAGCTACCCGGTCTCGAGGCACTCACCTGACCCAGGGCACTGGTCAGGCCAAAGAGCAGGATGTTATAGATGACGGTAGGGTATCTTTCGGCAAAACTCAAGAACTCCCAGAGCTCCCCAGTAAACAGGATTCCTGGGAATAAATGGCAAAGGATGAATGGCGCACCCTGTGTGCCTGCGTCAGCGCACGTGTCTACACGCAGCCCAGGAAAGTACTCCACGGAACAAACAGCACGTCGGGAAGTGCAGGGACTGAGTTCACACTGTCCTGTCAGGCAGCTTGCTCCTAGTTTTCTGATTAGACAAACTAAAGACTCTTCCAAGAGAGGCTTGGGAGTCAACTAGCTACTTCTGCCAAAGTTACTGGTAGCAGAGATCCTCCGATATTGGGGAGATACTGACCCACACATTCCCAGCTCAAGGCAGCCCCACGCATGGCCACCTCCAGCCATCAGCAGCCTCCTCCGTTAACCCCACTGTGCTGTACTAAAAATACTTCCCGCGGGCACCCAGATTTGAACAAAGGTTGGGAAGCACTGATTTAAAAGCACATACGTTCATATTCAAACTACAGTCCGTATACACCAAATACCAGTATGTCATCGCTATCAGAAGAAGGTGAGTTCCCAAGGTACCCCTGTGACCTACTACTACATGTCCCCCCAAGGAAACTGGCACAGGTCTACCCATGATTGTGCCAATCATGAGGAGCAAGCAGAGCCCGCCAGGGAAAGTTTCTCCAAGAAGGTTTTCCAGGGGCTTGGACAGAAGGGCATCTTACAGCCGAGACAGGCCTCCGGCCTGGGCAAAGTTAGCAACGAGCACCCGCGCTAGGGATTGACTGGAGGATGGCAGTCTGCCCTCTGGTGACACACGGAAGAACAGCAGAACCGCTCCTTACCAGCTCCCAGCAGCAATGTCGACCAAAGGTTGATATTCAACATCATGTGGTTGGAGCCTGTTTGGTAATGAGCCCGCATGTGGTCCTGGGAAACGCCTGTCAGTCCATCCAGGGTCAGAGACAATAACTGGAAAAGAGAGGGTGCACCCTGCAGCAAGAAGGCCACCAGGGCCCCTCCCTACCCCAGGACACAGGACTCTCACTTTTCTGAGACTCCTCACAAAGCCGCTATCTTAAGACAGAGTCCTCAGAACAAAATGCTAGCATTCGGTCACGGGTGGAGGGTCCGGAGAGATCACGCTCACTGCCTCCTGCCCCACCCAGGCACCAGAACGACAGCCTATCTGAGCCACCCAGTAATGTAATCAGAGTGGGATGGGAAGCCTAGCACTTCCCAAGGCAGTGCCACGAAGCCTCGTGTGCAGGGGCCTGGAACCCGTGCTGAGCCATGTATTTTCCCGTGAGAGTAGAGAAAGGACATGTGGTACTGGCCTGTTAGCCTCCTGGCTTGGAGGAGCGCTCCAGACTAGATTCTCTGGTCACACTGCCCAGATTAGAAGCCTGGGCCAAGCTAGCCACTTCCTCTGCCACTTCATAGCCGTGTGACCCTGGCAAGTGACTTAACCTCTCTGTGCCTCAGTGTCTTCATAGGGAAAATGGAAATAATAACATATATAAGGTTATTGTTGTAGAAGTTAACCAACTAATAGGTAAACCACTGGGAACAAGGCCTAATACACAGTAAGCAAGAGCTATTATAGTATTATTTTTAAACGCTGGCTTCCCGGTTTCTCAGAAAGCCACAGTGAGTGACACGCTATTCCTTCCCTATTCGCTCTCATGTCTCTCCGGCCTCACACCAGCACTTAAACGCAGGTCTCAGAGTCACCCCTTCCCCTGGAGAGCTGCGTTTTTGCTCAATATTTCAGGCTTACCACTGTGGCCTTAGGAGAGCCGGGGGCCATGCAACAAGACACAAAGCCGAGAAATGGGGGGCAAGGAGCATCGCAATCTCTCTCTCGACACATAACTGGCCTTTCACACGCCCAGGTGGGATGCTCCTTGGTTGTGATTACCGGAAAAGGCTGCCTTTCCCACCAGGATCACATACCAGAAGCAGTTCTCCGTAGCCAACTGTGTGTTCTTCCATCCCAACTACTTGCTTGGGTTTGTACATGAAAAGGGCCACTCCGGCCACAATTAGCAACACACACAGGTACTTGGCCTTTGGGTACTTCTTCTTCAAGAGGGTAACTCCAAGGAGCATGACTACAGGGAAGAAACAGTGAAAAATTCGGGTACCCACAGGCATTGATGAGCCCAACACTGTCCTCTTAGGAGACTCCTGGGAGAAAACAATGTCTGAGAAGGAAGGCCTACAGAAGCTAAGAGGAAGGCGCAAGGCTGGCACCTGGATAGAGAGGATTGAGCAACGGGGGGAACAAAGGGTAGAAGGCAGGGAAAAGGCAGAGAACAAAGGTGAAAGATCCAAGAAGGGACAGGGAAAGGGTGGGGACAGTGGATGAGAGAGAGGTTGAGAGAAAGAAACTGACAATCAAAATGGGACTCAACTCTAATGACAATGTAAGCACCCAGGACACCAAAATGACCGGCACAGGAAGCAGACTAGGTTGGTCTCTAGCTTCGGGCCCATGCACATCCAACACTACCGGAAGCGATACAGAGGACAGGATGGCAGGGGGAAGGGATGGAGGGCCGGCTCTGGAGATAGCTGTGATGAGATGACGACCCCGAAGGGATACACAGCTCTAGCAGAGGAGTAGAGAGCCTGCTACAGGAAGAGTGAGGATGGTAGAGGGAGACCATCTGCTTCCGCTTACCTGGGATTGGCTTGCAGGATTTACCAAGGACCTGAAATGAAATCCAGCACATAGTACCTGAGCCTCTGGGATGTGCCAGGCACTGTGCTAGGTGCTCTGTTAAGAAAAGTAACTGTGGGGCGCCTGGGTGGCTCAGTCGTTAAGTGTCTGCCTTCGGCTCAGGTCATGATCCCAGGGTCCTGGGATCGAGCCCCACATCGGGCTCCCTGCTCAGCAGGAAGCCTGCTTCTCCCTCTCCCACTCCCCCGGCTTGTGTTCCTGCTCTCGCTATGTCTCTCTCTGTCAAATAAATAAATGAAATCTTTAAAAAAAAAGAAAAGAAAAGAAAAGAAAAGTAACTGTGGGGCCTGCACCAGAAACCACAGCCTATCATGGCCAACCCACCACCACTAGACCGCAGATCTATGGTTCTTTGCCCTCTGAATTTCTCCAACACCTTCTCTTTTGTTTAAGTCACGGACCTGAGCGAAGAATTCTTAGGTCTTTTCAAACAACTTCTGAGCCAACCCTCATCACACCCTGAGATTTCACCTGAGTTGGATAGTTGACGAACTGTAGTGCCGAGTTGCTGGAGACCATGGCACCCAGATAGGAGACAGAACAGGCGGCATAGAGCCAGCTCCGGGTACGATCCACCCTCGCAGTGTCAAAAACCTGGATCACTGGGAAGAGACAAAAAATGTGTAAGAGAAACTTGGTGAACTGAACCAAAGTTGAAGCCACGTGAAAGGAATGTGTCAAATAAGACGAGAAGCACAAGATATTTCTGTCCTCTTAGACTGGGAAATCTCTGAAGATTATTCAACTCTCCAATCTCACCTACACCTAACACAAGACCACATGCAGAGCAGGAATGGGGGCTCATTCAGTTCAAGGGACTCGTTAGCTCTGCTGTAGCCCCCAGGGAACAGAGAGAGCAGCTCAAAACATGTTTGAAGCGGAAAGATAAAGGAAAATCAAAGGGAAGAAAGAAGAAAAAAATTAAGTATTCTCAGTGGGGATTCGGCACACAGAAGACCCATTCTCTGCACATTTCTGACTCAGAAGTTGGTCTAATGTAAGGAAATAGGGTTGACTGAACAGAGAGGCTTTGAAAACGCTAAAGAGGGTGGGAGTGCTGCCAGTCAAACCTTAAAGGTGGACAGGGAGGGGGCACACAACAGATTACTAGATAGGTACTCACAGATCTTGGCAAACACAGCATTGATCACACACTGAATGAAGACCAAAGTTAAGGCAAAAGTGAACGTCTCCTGCTTGGCTCCCTCCCCATACTTTCCTCTTGTTCTAAGAATGAAATGATGAGAAAAAAAAAGGAGAAGAATTAGTGTATTTCACTCAGTGTCATCTAGTATGTGTAGAGTCACCGAAAGCTTTAAAACGATTTTGCTTCTCTGGATGTAGGAACTGTCTGGTAAGGTTCACTGGCCTCATTCACAAAAGGGGCTGATTTTATTGGATCTAGAAGCCAGACATCCCAGCCTGCTGATCCCGTAGCTTAGGGAAAGAATATCCGTAAAGGATGGAGCTAGAGGAAACGTGGAAAATTAGACGGTGAAACGAGGTACCCCAAGCAGCAGATGAAGGGATTTGGGCTACAGCAGCAAGGCCGGGGGCAAAAGAATCCGCTGTCCGCAAACATCTGGAAGTACCAAAGAGGAGCTGGCACAGGCAAGGAAACCTGTGTGTGTAACGGGGTACTACTGCCAGCCTGTAAAGCCCAAGCCCTTAGAACCCTAGGGAGAAAAGCAAGAGAAGAAACATAACCAGGTCCCGAGTATCCGGAGACCAACTTTGGCGTTTGGGAAATCTGAGCAGGCTCAGCCGCGGCTGCAAAGGTGTCGGGGGCTGGGGGCGGGCAGGAAGGAACAGCCGGGCCAGGGGCGGGGGGCCCGCCAACCGGGCCAAGGGGCGAGAGAAGGGGCAGGTCTGTGCTCCGGTCCCGGCGATCCGCTCACATCTTTTCCTGAAGGATCCCATAGTAGAAATAGCAGACAAAGACACCGAGGAAGCACAGCGGCAGGCGCAGCCGGTCGGGCACCAGGGAGCTGCTAGCGGCCATGAGACGCCCGGACGACCCGACCGGAGACCCGCTCACAGCCGGCAGCGGCAGCGGCGGCGGCGGCGGCGACAGCTCCAGCCGGACATCGCCGACCGGCGACAGGGGCCTCATAGGAGCTGCATGCGACCGCCGCTCAGTAGGCCCCAGCAGCCACCGCCAGAGCTGCCGGCTCAGGGCCTCCGAGAGGGAAAGGCTTCGGGACCCAGAAACCGTTTCCAGGGAAAGGAGACCCGCCCTGGGACCTCGGCTTCGCCCCTGATGGCCGAGGGAGCCACCCGCCCTGACATTAATGCTGTGCCCTGGAGTCTTCCGATCAGGCAACTTCGAGGACAACTGCGACCCAGAGCTCGACGGGATGGCCTAGGCGTTACGCGGGCGGGGAATGATGACGTATAAGGATGTGGAGGTCACCAATTGGCTGCGCTGTGCGAAGACAGACAGGTGAGCTGGAAGGAGGTGCGGCCGGCCGGGTTAATCCCAGTCTCTTCCCCAGTCGGCGGTCAGGCTTCCGCTGGGTCCTAACGCCAGGAAGTCTCAGTGGACCCTCAGCGCCCCCTAGCGGCTGCCCCGCGTCAGCGCCTCCCCTTCTGCAAGAAGAGCGTTCAAGGCTGCCGTTTGAGAGCTGTCCTCCTTCTAAGGGCACATCACTAGGCTTCCAAAGGGGTAACCTACGCGTGCCGCCTACATTCCGAGCGACAGTTTTCCCAGCCTGGAAACTTGGGATAGACAATTAGCAGCAACCACCTGGTCGCCTCTCGACTGTTCTGAGGATTCAATGAGCTGAGGTTTGTGAAAGTGTTTCAAAAACTGTAAAGTGTGCTATGCAAGTTTAAGGTATCGGTAGTCATCACACTTTCTCAACTCTGGTCTTATTTCCTCACATCCAGGAGGTGGAAATGGAAGCTTACCAAAGTGGATGTTCTCCGGGGTCTTACACCTCACCAGCAATACAACAAACCCTCCTGCTGCCCTCCAGATTCTTTCCCATTCATGACCTCCTTTGGGGGCCCCTCCGTCATCCCAAGTGTTGGCCCTCCACCTGCGGGCACCAAGAGCTAGGGCAACACCCCAGGACTTTCCACTATAACCCCCGAACCCCACTTAAGCAATGGACTCTGGGCTGCTATCTGGGTAGAGGCTCCTTCTCTGCTTCTGACAGCCCACTTCTTTGGCACAGCCTCAGGCAAAGGAAGGAAACTCAGGTCAGCACCACACCCATCACTCCAGGCCTGACTCACTAAGGCTTTGGGGGCAGGCCAAACATCTTTCGGGGGAGGGGTAAGAAATAGAAGATAGGGTCTGTCCTCAAGCCCCTGTCTCCTTTACATCAGTGCGGATGGGGCCCCCACATTTGCTCTCCCCCCAGTGGCTCATTCCACCCAATCAGTGTGATTCCAGGGCACCAGACAGGAGCTGGGGTGAGAGACCTGGGTTGCAGTCCCAGCTCTGCCCCTTCACTAGCTGGGACTTCAAACAGTTCTCTTGACCTCTGAGTCAAACTAGTTTCCTCATCTGAAATTAATGCAAAAATAGTAACAAGTGCGAGAGCGCTGTGGTTAGAAGCAGGGGCACTGGATTCAAGGGATCTGCTTCCCCATCTTAGCTCCCCCACTTCCTATCTGTGTCTTGGGGGTAACGTTATACAATCTTTCTGTCCTCTTATCAGTACAGTGGGGTTTATCACATTTCTCTCATTGGGTTGTTGTGATGTTTCGGTAACGTTTTATGTCAAGCACTAACAGGGTATCTGATGCTTACGGGGCCAATGAATGGTAGTTGGGATAGCCTGCCTTAAGAGTTTGTCTCGGGTGCCTGGGTGGCTCAGTTGGTCAAGCGACTGCTTTCGGCTCAGGTCATGATCCTGGAGTCCCTGGATCGAGCCCCGCATCGGGCTCCCTGCTCGGCAGGGAGCCTGCGTCTCCCTCTGACCCTCCCCCCTCTCATGTGCTCTCTCTCTCTTTCTGTCTCAAATAAATAAATAAAATCTTTAAAAAAAAAAAAGTTTGTCTCGAGGTCTTCTGACATAGATACAATTTTAGTTATTTTTTTTTAAAGATTTTATTTATTTATTTGAGAGAGAGAATGAGATAGAGAGAGAGAGCATGAGAGGGGGGAGGGTCAGAGAAAGAGGCAGACTCCCTGATGAGCAGGGAGCCCGACGTGGGACTCGATCCCGGGACTCCAGGATCATGACCTGAGCCGAAGGCAGTCGCTTAACCGACTGAGCCACCCAGGCGCCCACAATTGTAGTTATTATGACTGCCCTTGGGGTAGTCAACTTTTCACCCATACAGTGGGGATAATATGTCGTGAAAAAGTTTGTAAAGCGTAAAGCACCATCAGAATGTTGGGATGATTATTCCCATTTCTCCCCAAAGCCTCTGAGCTCTTACAGGTGCAGCACTATAAAGCTGAGAGGCTGCAAACCCCTCTGTGTTGTGGGTACTCACGAGATGGAAAGAATACTCCAGTAGAGCTAAAGCTTCCCTAAAACTGTGCCAAGAGATTCAACCCGATGACTGCTCCCTGGTCCTGTTCCCCTTGCCGGTGCGCACCACAATGTCAAACTTGGTCACCCTCACTTCCCCTCTGAAACCCACTCTCCCTAGGGAGCTTTTCCAGACTCATCCAAGAATAAATGACTTGCCCCACTGACTTCTTCACCCCACCTTCCACCACCCCCTTCATTCTGGACAGCCTTTCCGTGGACCCTACTTCTTAGATGTCCATCTAAAGAATCCAAGCCTGGTGACCTGAGGACAGGGACTCTGTGCATCCACGTTAACACCCACATCCACATCATTATTTGTTAAGTAGAGACCCCTCTTGAAGACAAGGATGATCAATATCACACGCTCAATCCCCTCCCCGCAAAAAATGTTTAACAGAACCTCAAGCTGCTGGGAATACTTATTTATTTGGTCTATTAACACCAAGATCTGCAAAAAACAACTTCTAAACACAGGATAAGAAAACTTGAACATTAACATTCTTCTTCAATTTTGTGTAAGCTCTGCAGTACGGAAAATATACAAACTTCAAACAGCTGCAAAAATAGTGTCTTTGGGAGAAAATAGAGTTTCTACATCGATACAAGAAAAATAGGCATTTTTCTACTCCAACCCAGTCCCGGGGCAGGCGGAGGGCGTAGAGTCGCCGCTTGCCACCTGGAGGAATACCAGCTCTCCCTCTCCCCCGCCACCCACCTGGGGCTGGGCAAGCTGGGCTGCTTCAGACAATCTTAGGGTGAAAGCGAGATGAAAATGCCACTTGGGAAAACGCTTGGTTCCCCCCTCTGCCAGCAGCTGGATTGGTCAAGCGTTAGGGCCCTTTAGGGCTGCTTTGGTCAGCTCCTCCAATGAGAGGGAGGCACGGGGATGGGCGCTGAGAGGATGGGGCTATCTATCTTCGGGTCTCCTCTTCCATGGCTGTGGAGGAGAGGGAAGGAAATCTGCAGTGTCCCCTCTCCTTCCATCATGGCCAGCTTGCTCCATGACAAGGTCAAGAGCCCCACAGACAGTCCTTTGGACTCACACCCAGGGGTGGGGGACCCAAGACCTTCGGGTGAGTTTTCCACCAAGTGAGAGAGGCGGCAAGAACACAGATGCGACTTGTGAGCTGCCCAGCTGCTAGTGGAGAAGGCAGGTCCCCTCACATTCGGAGGGGCTGGTGTCCCTCAGAAAGAGGACCCGGGGCTTTGACACAATAAATGAAAGTGCTCGAAGGCCGAGAGGGAAGGGCTCCTTCATCCCCCACCTCAGGGGAGCTAGGGAGGGGCCTGCCACCAAGGCACTGGTCTCCATGGTGAAGTGGTGGGGTTGGGGCCCTCAGACCACCAGGGAACTCTGGAAAAGCACGGGCTCTTCTGATGGCGGGGTGCGCTGCCATGGCTCGAACGGCAGCGAGGAGGCTTTGGAGGCCTCTGGATCCTTCCGAGGCGGTGGCCTGGGGCTGGCAGGGGGAAGGGGGGACCCCGGACTTGAGGGGCAGTTACGGAAAATGAAGCCCATGCTGGGGAAGAGGGGCTTCATCAAGCTGACGGGGCAGAAGGCCGAGCCGGTCGGGTTGAAATGGACTTTGTTCTTGTCAGGACAGGAAGTCAGGAAAGCCAGGTCAGGGCCTGGGGACCTGGAGAATGGAGAGAGAAACACACACACACACACACACACACAAGGGGAGAAACAGCCAGTGAGAACTGACAGGAGATGTCATGGCATCAGGGGAGCAGGGGAGCTGGGTCTCTGTTCAAACAGGGTGGTAACTCAACCAAAAAACTACAGGCTGCTGAGCAACACCCAGTCTTTAGGCCCGCAGCAATCCATTTATTAGGAATATGGCTGAACAACAGGAAATCTACTTCAGCTAGAAACAGGAGGGATTGAAGGTAGACAGGAAGGAGAACTTCCTGACGAGGTGACTTTAGAAGAGGAGACCAAGGGATCTTTTAATTTGAGAGAGTTCATCAGTAAACAGTGTTTTGAGGGCAGACCACTTGCCTAAAAGCAGAGACCCAGGCAAAATTATTTTCTAAGACTTTGGACAGCCTAAAGCAGGGTTTCTCAGCATCAGCACTATTGCCATTTTGAACTGGAAAATTCTTGGTTGTGGAGAGCTGTCCTGTGCATTGTAGGATGCTTAAGAGCATCCCTAGCACCTGCCCACTAGATGCCAGGAGCCACCTGTGTCCCCCTTAAGCTGTGACAACTAAAAATGTTTCCTGACATTGCCAAATGTCCCCAGGGCGTGGGGAGAGGGGGGGATGTCTCCCATTGAAATCTACTGACCTAAAGAGTCTCATTCTTGAACACATTTGAAAGGGGTGATTTTTCAAAGCCCTTGCTGAGATGCAAGGGTAACAACCATGGCAGGAAGGCAGGCCAACCTTAACAGGGGGTCTCGGCTCTAACTCACCATGTGCTCTTGACCCACCTGCCTCACCTTGAATGTGGAAAGAACCATCCCCACACCTTCCTAATCATGTGGAAGAAATGGAAGCATAAAAGGAGTGAGGTCAGGGAGTTCTAGAGTAAGGAATCCTTATGATAAAGAGGAGTGTCTGGCCATGCTCTGAGGGGAAGCGGTTGAGAAGCCGCTGGTTGCGAGGGCTCCTGGGGAAAAGGGAAATGTGTGGTATGATGGTGAAGCTCTGTTACCAGTGGATCCCTCGACTGCCTTCCTCTTTATGTATAATATATAGACAGAAAAATGAACTTAGGGTATAGCATGGGAAATTGATGACCATTTTAACTGTAGAATTCTAATAATTCCAAATCCAGGAAGAAGAGCAAGACAGGAGGAGGGCAGGGGTGCGCCCAGAGCGAGAGGTGGAAGAAAGAGGTAAAAACCCATGTGCTGGGTGTATCTGGGAAGGCCTGGGGTCCCAGCAGAGTCCACAGCAGCAAGGTCTCCCCTGACCAAGAAGGGTTTACAAGAATCCCACTTTATGGACTTTGAGGAATGGGCAGGAGAGGGGAATGCTCTCACTGTGTGCATGCCCACGTGGGGAAGGTGACCCAGGAGACCAAGCCCCACTCGAAGGACAGATGGCATGACCCTGAATGGCTTGATTCCCCTCCTGGGAAATCCAGGCCATCTTATAGGATCAGCAGCTAGGAAAAGGAAAATGTGACAGAAGAATTGCTAAACACAAGAACTTCCCAATGGGCAAGCTGATACAAGGAAGAGGCCCCAGTGAGCTGAGAATTTCTCTCCCAGGGCCTCTTGGAAAGCAATCCATAGGTCACCACCTCTTTTTTTTTTTGAGATCATGACCTGAGCCGAAATCAAGAGTCGGATGCTTAACCGACTGAGTCACCCAGGGCCCCAAGAGTCACCATCTCTCTCAAAGGATTAACACAGGGACAGGAAGCCTGGGGAGATGGCTTGAAGACCCTGGCTGTCATCGTGAGTCTGTGGAAGAATCAGGATGGGCACAGCCTCATTTCCACAAGCAATCCCAGGCGGTGGCTACTCAAGTATAACGTGGACTGGGGAGAGACCCAAGTCTGCTTAAGCTGCAAGATCTGGTCTTTTTCCTCCATGCCACCCCTGAGGACCCAGGCTTCTTGGAGAGCTACATAGCGAAGCTGGGAGCAAACACCCCCGGGGCCATGGCTTTCTCCCTAACTCCCACTTTGCCTTCTAGCCGTACCCTCTGTCGCTACCATGGACTGTCCCTTACCTGCGACGCGAATGGAGCTCTCAAGGCTCAAACCCTGTCCTAGCTACGTCTCAGCTCACACACCAGGACCAATTCTCCCTAACTGAGAATCTGCCCTTCTGACTATGAAGCTGGTGGGGGGAAGGAAATGAGCTCTTGGGGTGCCTGCTACGGGGGACCGGGTGGGCATTTGGAAAGGTTCGGCCCTCCATCCTCTCTGCTAATGGGAGGGAACCGTGGTAAAGAAGTCAATCAACATCAGAACGGCTTCTGAACTGTCCCACCTGGTTTGGAATATTCCACAGTCCTTCCTTGTAAGGACTGGAAATTTCTGTCTGGGAGTTCATGACCCTTGAACCACTAGAGCGACAGGGTGAAGACTTGACTCAGAAGCAGGGAGGAAGCTGTTCAGGTCCCCCTGCCACTCCACTGGGGACGAGACACTTCCCATCTCTGCCTGAAGAGAACTTTACTAACATGTTCTCTCTCCCTCCGATTACCATCTAGCAAACTCACACCTTCCCCAGGGATGGAAAAAAAATAGAGAAAACAAAGGGCTCGGGTTTCAGATCTCTTTCCTTTCCAGCTCCCACAGCATTTGTGGCTGGCATGTGGGCAGAGAGCAGGTTTCCATAGAGAGCACGATAAGCAAAGATTGAAGGGCTCCAGTAGGTAATGTCAACAAGTCTGACCGCGGAAAAAGTGTGATCCCGATCATCTGAAGTTGACAACGGCCCCAGGCTGAGAGAGCCCAAGATGGAAGAAGGGCCTGTCAGAGAGAACAGTGCAGGGCTCACCCCCATCCCCGGCTCCGCCCCACCCCACCCACCCCGTCCACGGTCCACGGTCCACGGTCCACGGTCCACAGGAGGTACTCACACGGCCTCTTCGAACACACGCACTCTCTCGCAGCCTTCCGGGGGCTCCCGTTTGAAGACGTAGCTGTGATTGGGCCGAGGGGAGGCGGCAAAGGCAAGGACCGGAGACGGGCTGCTGTCTTCAAGGCAGGCTGGGCGGCCCGGAGAGGAGGCTGCAAACAGAGTGAGGCTGAGGCCAGTAGAACTGAAGGGAAGGAGGCTCTCCACTTTCCTGGGCTCAGGCTTCGGTGTAAAGGGGCGAGCCTGGGACATGTGGTGAGGGGGTTGGCAGTGCTTATGCTAATCCAGGTTGTTTGTCCATGCTTTATTTACCTTAAAATAGCTTTAAGAAGGCTTACAAAAATCTATATATCTTGTTATACAGGATAAAAAAAATACAGTTGAGGGGCACCTGGGTGGCTCAGTCGGTTGGGTGACCGACTCTTGATTTCAGCTCAGGTCATGATCTCAGGGTTGTGAGACTGAGCCCCACGTTGGGCTCCATGCTGAGCGGGAAGGCTACTTGGGATTCTCTCCCTCTGCCCCTCTGCCCCTGTGCTCTCTCTCTCAAATAAATAAATATATCTTTTAAAAAAATACAGTTGAATTGATGGAAAAATCAGGTCTAATAGCAATTCTGTATTCTCAGGAGGTAGACTACAACTGGGACTCCAAGTCTGACTTAAAGGAATCCTAACTTCCGTCTCCCTGCTTTCTTCCAAGACCGCACCGCCCTGCTGCCAACATACCACAGCTTTGTCCTCTCCACAGCCCTGCCAAGCTATCCCTTCTTCCAGGAAGAGCTCTTGTACCAACTCAGAGAAGCAGTCTTTACTCAACCCCACTTGTGGGATAAAATCCTCTCCCTTTCCACACAGTGAATGTACTTTGCCTAGGCTGCAAATATTGACTTTATCTGTATTTATCTCACATTTATTCCTTATTACTCTAAGCTCTGTTTACCTCTGTGTAGTGTGAGATTATGCCCTTGACCAGCCTACCTCACAGGGCGCTGTGAGAATCCAGCTGGGGGAGGCAGGCCACAGTGCTTTGGGACAGGAGGATCATTATCGTGGGGAGGAAGGGCTTGGGTCTCATCCTCCCATAAAGGAGCCAGGGCACAGGACGAAGTAGAGCTTTGGAGTTGGAAAGCCTGGGTTTCAGTCCGGGTCAAACAGCGTGACCCTGGGGCGAGAGACCACATTCGCTTATTGTCTACCTTTCCCAAACACCTTGAGACCTGTTGCTGGTAATGCGTGCAGTGGACCAGCCGGACAGACCCATAGGCTTTCTACTCGTTAGCGAAAATAGGAGGATGAGAGGCACTGCTTGCGTGCTTCCCAGTGAGAACAGAAGTGTGGGTGCAGAGACTTTATATAAATTATAAATCAGGATCTGTGTGAAGGACCATTACTACTGGTAGTATTGCATATAGAATAAAGACAACCCATGATATTCTAGTTGGTTAGTAAGGAGGACTCCCAGGCTTGAAACTGATTAGAGGGGGAAAGGGCGTGGAGGCCCCCCTGTACCTCAGGCTGCTGCCCCAGCCCCCCTCAGCTTACCTTTGTCACTGGGGATGGATGCCAGCTCCTCGACAGCACCCCGGTGTTCCTCGTGGCTGGCCGGGCCTGAAGGCTGGGGGGATGTCAGGGGCACGGAGGGAGAGCCGGCAAGGTTGCCGGGCTCCAGGAGGAGGAGGGGGTGGTCACAGCTGCCACTCTGGGCGGGAGCGGGGGCACGGTGCCCATCAGGGATATCAAGGATCTGCCAGGGAAGAGGGTGGGGAAGGAGTCTCAGGCCCCTCTCTTTTGGCCATGAGAGCGGCAGTGACCCTTAAGCTCCTCCCCTCGCTGTTGTTCTGACCTCTATCCCTGACGCACAATGACACCAGGACATGGCTTTCTCAAGTCACTGATTTAAGGGAAAGCCCCTCCTATTTCTCCCCAGCCCTTGCGACCCAATTTAGAATCACATGTTTATTTGTATGGTTTCATCATGGTGACGCCACCAGCAGGCTGTAAGCCTCGAGGGCAGGGACCTTCTCCGGGAACACAAAGATGAAGAATATTTGGGGAGCATGAGAGGGGGCGAACCACCAGGATACTAACCACGCAAGCCACTGCAGGACAGGCATGCACATCATTATCACGTATGAAATACCCCCTCCCTGCTTCTTAGCCATCAATGGTAGTTGTACCCCCAGCTCACCGAATTGCAAGCAGGTGCCTGGGTGGGTATCAAATCCTACATATACATCAATTAAAAATCAACTAGCAAGTAACTCATAAACTGAGGAGTGTGCCCATTAGAATTATATTAATACTGCCCAACTGGCATTCTCCAATTGTACTGTGTCAGTACAAAAATGTGCCTGAGACGGCAGAAAAGGTAGCAAATAATTCTGCCTGGGAGTGGGGTGGGGGTGGGGGGGAGGGGGGAGGCTGCACAGGGGCAACTGGGCATGAAGGATGAATGCAGGTCACCAGGTGGACATGGGGGGAGAGGTGGTTACACAGGCGACTGAGGCACGGGAGGGGGACAGTGATGGGGATGAGGACGCAGGGAGCAGGGAGCCGGTGCTTTGGCTGAAGAGTGGCGCCGAGCCCCTTCCTCCTGGCTGAGAAGTCTCCCCTCCACTGAGCCCCGCTCCCTCTCTTCCCACCCAGCACCACGAGCCTGTCCCGGCTCCACCGCCCGGCTCTGCTGTCCTGGTGGCCAAGTCCATTTGAATCTAATGAACCCGATTTGTGTTCCTCGTGCAGGGCGGCGTTTACACCACGCTGTTGACGTGGCCACAGCCCGGAGCCCCCCGAGAGCCAGAGTCCCCCCGGCCTGCACCCACACTCCCCAAGCCGCCGGCTCGTCGTACATCAAGGGCGCGCCCCACTCACCCGCAGCAGCTCCTCTTCACCCTGTTCCTTCACAAACACCTCCTCCAGCTCTTGGTTGAGCCCTTCCAGGCTCCGGTGCAGGCAGGGGCTGAGTCGCAGGACAGGTGACCCGGAGGGGAAGCTGGGAGGGGACGCCTGAGAAGGAGGCAGATGGAGCGGTCATGGAATCCCCCCTCCCCCAAGCCCCGGAGAGTTACTAGTTCTGACCAGGGGGTAATGTCATGTCTACACAGCAGAACCAAGCAAATAAAGGAGGATCTGGGCACGGGGACTGACTGCAATAGGACAGCTCAGTGGGTTTTTCTCCAGAGGTTAGCGCTTTGGGAGTCTAGAGCGTGGTTCTAGCGCTTGCAGGCTCACCACTGCGTCAATTGTAGGGGGGCGCGGGGGTTGAGGGGAGAGCCATTCGCGAGGGCAAAAAGCCCTTCCAGCCTCACTCAGCGACCCCCAGTTTGTGCCCAAACCACCTAGGCAGCCACGTGGCCATGGGGTGGGCAGCGTGGCAGGCTCAGTCAGCGGCTGTAAGACCTGCGAGGACCTGCCCACACGGGGCCGCCACGGGCGACAGCAAGGGGAGTGGGCCCGGGGAGGGGGCGGACACATACATACCCTCAGTGCTCCCCGCACTGCATGGTCCCCTTGCAGGGGGGAGCCCCGCTCCTTCTCTTTCCCGCTGCGGCTTAGCTTTGTCCTCTGCAGCTGTTGCTTCAACTTGGAAATCTGGTAGCCCAGAGATGGGAGGGGGAGAGGCAGGTGGAACAAAGCTAAAGGGCACGGGGTCCCTCCTCCCCGACGTGGCTCCCACCGGAGGCCCACGATAATGCATAAAAGGAAGATGGAAAACCTCCCAGGAGACCTCGGTGAGTTCAGAACTGATGACATGCTCTTTGGGCCAGCTGGAGACCTTATTAACTAGATATTTGGTGTTTCTGAATTATCATGTATTCTACGGATCAGTTGGAAATATGAATCAGATGGATCAGTTTCCAAAAATTTCAAAATACGCAATGCCGAAACCATTTTTGTCTTTCACGGATTCCAAACCGTGGAATACTACTCTATTAATAGAAATGGGAAATGATGTTTTTGAATTCACTCTTCAAAGTACATTCACAGCTATCTCAAAGGCCCCGGGACCAGGAAGGATGGAAGGATTTCCCCTCATTTTAAAGTAAACTGCACTGAGCAAGGAGCTGATGCTCAAGAAGGAGTATCAGATTTTGTCCTGACTTTCGTATCTTGTAACAATTATGCAGTATTATCAATGGTTTTGACTATTGTCTCTGTCACATTTGTAATTCTCCACCTACTCGCCCTCAGCTGGCGAAGGCTCAGGAGATGCAGATCTGTTTAAATATGGGCCCCAACGAAATAGGATTCAGAGAGGAGATCTGCCGCCCATAGCCATACAAGTTATGACCACTGCCAAGAAGAAAGTGGTTTTAGATCTGCTATCGGGCACCATTCACACGACTCCATGCTTAGTGTAAATAACTTGCTTACTCTGATCATTCCGAACTTAAAATACTCCATCATATTTCCCACTAGCTTTTAACTTGTAGAGCATTCCCTTCACATTTTCTCTGTTCTTGCAACCAAGAGAGGCTCGAGGTGACTCCCAGTGAGTCGGCCCTCAGGGGCCGCCAGTTGGAGTGGCAGGTGGAGCTGGTTTAGGAGCCCGGAATCCCCGTCTGTGCTTCTCTCTATTCAACCTCAGTGACTGGAGTCCTCCTGAGAGAGGGGGAGGGCCAGTGAAAAGTGTTTGGGAACACACAACTATTTTTCTCTTCTAAAAATAAGGCTGGATGGGATGCCTGGGTGGCTCAGTCAGTTAAGCGTCTGCCTTCGGCTCAGGTCATGATCCCAGGGTCCTGGGATCGAGCCCCGTGTCGGGCTCCCTGCTCCGCGGTGAGCCTGCTTCTCCCTCTGCCTGCCGCTTCCCCTGCTTGTGCTCTCTCTCTGTGTCAAATAAATAAATAAAGTCTAAAAAAACCTAAATAAAACAAAAAAAAGGCTGGATGCACAGTTAAGTAGGTGGTAAGGTTGGGGGCTTCCAGTTCCCAGAAACTCACTCGGAACGGCTTATCTGGATACAAGCTCCAAGCAAGCGAGAACAGTGCTGGCTCCCACCCTGCGCTGGGCTGCTGGAGGGCACCAGCGGTCGCTGGCAAAGGCCCTGCCGGCGGAAGGGGCTGGACTCCTAAGCCGGGCCACCAGGACACTGACAGGCAGCTTTGAAGGAGCCATCTCATCCGGAAAAGGCAAGTGAGACCGAAGATGTGAGGCCACTTTGGAGCAGACACATCCACGGCGCTGGGCGTGGACAGGAGGCAGCTGCTGTGGCCAGGGAGTCAAAGGGGGCACATACCTCTTTTCGGTGGTCTGTGCTGCCCCAGGACGCCGAGCGCTTGTGTGTACAGGAGCTGGCCCGCTCACCTTCCAGCTCTTGCCAGGACAGGGGCGTCTGCAGGGGGAGAAACCCCGTGAGACAGAGCAGCTTCTCGGGCAGGCCCCGGGGAAGCAGCCACTTCCTGGACAGAGGTGGTGGCTCTTTGAAGGCGTCTCTGTCGTCTGGTCATCAGCCCCCTGAACATGCCCGCCTCTTTTATTCTTTGAGGCTTCTCCACCTGCACCGCCACTCTCCCAGTCCATGTCCTCCAGGAAGCCTTCCCTGATGAGCCAACAAGGCCAACCTGCTCTTTACTCTTTTGTGACTTTTACACAGGGATTCTGGCCCCAGCTATTCCAGGTGCTCCCCAAGGGACAAGTCCTGCCCCTCCCTCTCCCAACCAGCTGCAGAAGAACACGGGCTCGGGGGACCCCTGGCATCCTCGATTCGTGGACCCTTTATGGGTCCGGCACAAGTTCAGGTTCCTGGGAATGTCGTGAAAAACAAGTTACGAGATGGGACTCCATTAAGCAATCATTATTACTTGGTAAAACAGGAAAAATGTCAGTAGAGGTCCCCCGTCCTCCATCTTCGACCAAAGCAGGAGACGTCTGTGTAGCGCAGTGTCTAGAGCTGGTTTCAGGGGGGGCTCTGCACACAGACTTGAAGTCCTCCTGAATAGGCACGGGAGGGGACATTCTCAGGAAGGAGGAAGCCAGAATTCTGAACTCAGCCCTGACCCTGACCCTTTCTGGCTTTATCACAGCTCCTTCTCCTGGGCCCTGTGCTGCCCTTTGTGAGAGCAGACCTCTCAGGCGGCCATATCCCCCCGCCTCCTCCCCACTCCCCAGCTGCATAGCAGGCCAAGAGCCCAAGATTGAGGCAGGGGGAGTTGCAGACCCACTTCCTGGGCCCCAACCTGAGGGAGGAAGCTGTTGGCTTAAGCATGAGGCAGAGGAGGACTAGATCACTTCCCACCACCAACACCCCCTACTTCCATTCCAAGGGAGGGGCCCAAGGAGGAATGCTCCAGGGGAACCAGCTCTGACTTCTCTACATGAGCTGCCAAACCATGAGGGCCTGGGAACCATCTCCTCCAACAGATCTGCTGACCTCCCCCGAGAGACTGTTGCAAACAGAAAAGGGGGAGGATAAGGGGGGGGGGGAAGAACCCCAACCACTCACTACCCAACAGCTGTGAAGAAGAGCGGTGGGGCGGGCGGTGGGGCGGGCGGGGGGGGCAGATTGCCCTGTGTGACAGCTGTATGGAGGGGCCACAGGGGACTGAGTCTCCCTGGCTCTTCCTTCTCCCAGCTGCTGACCAGGACATTTCCCGGGCCATGCGACACAGCCAGGGTGAGACGGCTGCCCCACCCTCCTTCCCTGACAACGCCGCAAGGAAGATGGGCCAGGGCTCCAGTCTTCACACACCCGTCCTTCAGGAAGAGGGCAGGCAGCGCATCCTTCAGGCTGCAGCCCAAGCCCTCGAGGTAAAGCTGGCTGTGACAGCATTCAGCAACCAAGCGGCTAACTGGTTGACTCCCAAATGCCTGTGTCTCCCCAAACTGGGGTGCCGGCAGCCAGAGCCTGAGGAAAGCTGTGGCACATACTGCAAAGTGAGGAGGAGGGCCCCCTCTCCCAGAGCCCCCTCGGCCCAGCAGACACACAACGCGCCTCCACTCCCGGGGCTCCAAAGCCAACCCTACAGATCGTTAGCTCTGCTCATCCAAGCTGAGCTCCACGCAAGCCTGCTGTCCCTGGAAGGTGGCCGAGGTCACAGGGGACGGATGGCGAAGGCTAAGCTGGTGATGCCCATTTCCCTCCCACTAGGAAGGTACTGCACTCACAACAGCCCCATCCAGGCTGTCAGCAGCTCTATTGACATCTCTTGCAGACTCTTCAACTGCCTCCTTCCTTCTGAGATGTGTGAGAGGGTGGAAGGAGAAACGTGGGCTGGCAGCAGAGGCTAGAAAGGATGTGAAAATTCACGCCAAACTGGGATCGTGTCTCTCAGTCCATCTTGCCTCACCTCTCTCTGCTCAGCCACATCCTCCAGCAACCGCTGCTGCCTCTGTGTAAACCATGCTACCCAGACTATTGTTCTGCCTCAACACTCGGCCAGCCCCTGGTCACAGATGTCGCCATTTTACCTTCCATCCCACGGGCCCTCTGTACCGGGCCCTCATCGCATCCAGGCAAACCTAGCTCTGCCTCCTTTCTCCCCTTGCCCTGGACCCCAAGCCTGGCCTCTCCGTCTCAGAGGGCCTGCCCTACCAACTCTTCCCAGCCTTGCCCGCGGGGAGCCCGTCTAACTTGTCTACTTCGTGCTGACTGCTCCTCGGCCCCACGTCTCCTCCGTACAGATGGGCTCCGAGTATCCATCATCCACACGCTCAGCGTATAGTTACTGAATGCGCACTGCGTGTCAGGTACCATTCCAGGGCTGGCAACACAGCAATGCACAAAACAACAAAAATTCTTGTCCCCTTTGAGTTTACGTTCTAGTTGGGGACATAGTTGAAACAGTGATAAGTACTAAGAGAAAAACACAGCAACAAAAGGAGATAGGAATGCTGGGCAGGGGAACATGATTTTAAATGTCAGGGACATCCTCAATGAAAGAGTAACATCTGAAGGAAAACGTGAAGGGGATGTGGGAGTGAGCCATGTGGGTATCTGAGGTAACAGTGATCCAGACAGAGGGAATAGCAAGCGCAAAGGCCCTGAGGCAGGAGCAAGCCTGGTTTGTTTGAGAATGATAAGGAGGCCAGTATGGCTGGAGCAGAGTGAGCAAGAGGCAAGGCAGTAGATGAGGAGGTCAGTAGGTGTGATAGCCTGAAAAATGGCCCTACAAAGATACCAGGTCCCGATCCCTGGAACCGATAAGTGTTACCTTATATGGTAAAGTTTTTGCAGATGTGATTAAGTTATGGATCTTGAGATGGGAAGATTATCCTGGATTATCCAGACAAATTAGGCCATTACAAGTGTCCTTATAAGAGAGACGAGGGCAATCAGACACACACGGAGAAAGATAAGGGGATGTGACCACAAAGGCAGACACTGGAGTGATGTGGCCACAAGCCAAGGAACGCTGGCAGCCACAGAAGCTGGAAGATGCAAGGAATGGATCTCTCAGTGAGTCTCCAGAGAGCACGCAGCCCTGCCAACACCTTGATCTTGGCCCAGTGAAACAGAATTTGACTTTTGGCCCCCAGACCTGTGAGAGAATAAGGTTTTGTTGTTTTAAGCCATGAAGTTTGAGGTCATTTGTCACAGCAGCCCCGGGAACCTAACACAGTAGGTCATCCTATGTATGAAGCCGTGTCCATGCTGGCTTTGAGCATCTGTAAGGCAGGCTCATGCACGGGTGTGGGATTTGGCCCCTCCGACTCAACGGGGCATGTCAAGAGTGGGGACCATGCCCTGCTCCCTAGTTCCAGTGCATCTGGGTAGACGGGCCGCTTCGCCTCTGGGTCTCACCGCAGAGGTCTGAGCCAAGGTCTCCCTGGGGCACAGAAAGGCTCCCCTTCGAAGAGTGCCCCTTTATGGCACAACAAGGGTCGAGCCATGCGGCAGGACGGCAATGGAAGGAGTCGCTCCACATGATCCTTTGGAAGTGGAGTGGAGCTTGAGCTTTGGTCAGCAGATCAAAACATCGTATTTGTCAAGGGGATTCATGCACTGGAACAGATTTATTTTAACACCTTGGCCCAAGGGGAGCAGCTGAGAGAAAAGCAGGACCACGTACTAGCCATGAGTGACATCAGCCACCTGTGCAGATGATGCTCGAATTATGCACAACTGGATGTGGGTCAAACCCAGGAAGCCTTGCCTGGGCTTCTGAGCTCCCAGAGCCACATGCGGAAGGATAAGTGGGTGTGGGGGTGGAGGACAGCTGTCCAAGGAACAGCCCGATAGAACAAGACAGGGGTGGGATGGAGCCAAAAACCCTCCAAACTAGAACCTGTTTCTCTGACCCCAACCCAACTCAGTTTCTACCTGGAGTCCCAGGCAAGGGTCCTGGCCCTGCTGTCTCCAGGGACCTTGGTGGAGCCGGTTAAGCCCTGGGAACACAGCCCCATATACCTCTGCGGGGACCAAGAACAGTGTGGTGCCTGGCCTGGTACAGAAGATGCTCAGTAACTACGTGTGGAACATGACATTCGGCAGGGAATCAGCCCCTGGGGGACTCTGGCGAAACACAGGCAGGAAAAGGCTCTCTGAGGGTGGTCCGCTGGCCCGAGCCAGGAACTTCGGCTGGAGGTGGCCAAGGCCACCGTCCCTGGCCCTCCAGTGACTACGTAACCCTCAGATTTTCCATCATGGACCCATTTTCAAATATTCTGTGCTGCTGTCAAACCATATGCTGACCAACCGGTCCTGCTCGCCAGTTTGGAAAACGGGCACCATGCCCAGGCCCCCCCACCCAGAGAGCAAGCCTCTGATGGGCAGACTCGATCATGTGTCATCGCTAAACGCCGAGGCACTGGCTTGGGAAAAAGAGTAACGAAAGGAAAGAACACACAGTAGGGAAAAGTCCCAGAAAGGGACGTCTTCCTCAACAAAGAAGGCCGCCTCTGCTTCTGGCCTACAAGACACTCTCGGAGATTTGTCAAGGACTTCAGCTATTTTTTTCCTCCATCGGATAAATCAAGCCTAAAGAAGAAAGTCCATGCTAGAGGCTTCCGCACCTCCCCTGGAGCATGTGGAGGAAGCAGGGCTGGGATAAGCAGCACAGGGGGCCGGGCAGAGCAGGAACCCAGGGTCCCGTCTGTCTGCAGGATGAGACCAGCAGGGGAACTGTGCTCAAACAGTCATTCCAGCTGTGGTGAGACCACTTCCTCCCTGCAGAAGAGTGCACGGAGACACGAGTGCTTTGCACAGCAAGACGAGAGGTGGAGACGGTACCCCGCCCTGGCCCGCCACTAGCAGGGCCAGCCCAGAGCACTTGGTGGCTAGCTCGGGTTTACCAGCTGACCTGGGGACAGGGCGGTCCAGAGAGGGGAAAACGTATTCAGATTGGCCTGCAGAATCCTGACAAAGTCCTCCAAGACACAAAGAACCTCCTTCCGATGATGGGGACTCCATCCAGGAGCCTTGCTAGTCCTCCCCGGCTGGCCGCTCTGTGCCCCACTCCCGCTGTACCCAAGCTCTTCCTTGGGCTCACCAAGCTTGTCTCTGGGAGACCTGGGCAGCTCTCTCCCATTGCTCTTCTGGGCTCAGAACATGCAGCATTTCACAGGATACCCAATTCCCCAAATAAGACTCAGCCACCTCTCTTCCTCCCCTGCCCCAAATAACTTGGGTAGCCATCTTGCGAGGAAGACTCGAGAATGCAGCACGCTTGGCTATCTAAATGGCAGGTGCTCTGTGTCTGCGGCCCAGGTCAGAAACTTGCTTGGAACGGGCAGGGTTCTTGTTTCCTCTAGGAGGTTCAGCCCAACTATGGTGCTGCCCTCACTACAAGGCATGTCCCCAGGAACGCCACGGCTGATGTGGTCTCCAAACACCACACTCGAGCTGCTGGCTCTGGGGTGGGGGGTGGAAGGGCAAACAGGAAGACAGAAGTGAGGGCCTGCCTGCCAGACACAGTAGAAGTGCTACACTGGTGTGTCTGGAAGAGAAGGGGCAGGAAGCAGGGGTAGGGCTCAGAGAAATGAGGGAAAGGTGCTGGCCTCAATCTATTTTTTTTTTAATATTTTTATTTATTTATTTGAGAGAGAGAATGAGAGAGAGAGAGCATGAGAGGGGGGAGGGTCAGAGGGAGAAGCAGACTCCCTACCGAGCAGGGAGCCCGATGTGGGACTCGATCCCAGGACTCCAGGATCATGACCTGAGCCGAAGGCAGTTGCTTAACCAACTGAGCCACCCAGGCGTCCCTTCAATCTATTTTTTTTAACAACATAAAAGCTTTCAAGGACTTTGGTAAATCTTGCCTCCCCACCTTCCCTCTACCCTTGTCCATGCCCCTTGTATCTAGCCCATTCTGGGGATATGCCCGTGCTCTGGAGAGAAGGAACAGCAATCACTTAGAGAGAGGTCAGCAGAGCCTCAGGTCTTCCTGGTGTAATGCCAGTGTTGAAGGAGGTAGTTTGTGTCAGGCTAGGGGGGGCTCGAACAGGAATTTGACTGGAGCCCAAAATCTAGACGCAGAAAATTCCCAGAAGACCAGGACTGAAAGATGGGCAGAGCGCATATTTTGGTTTGGATGCCTACGTTGATCAGAATTCTCCTACCTCTTGACTCCAGCCACAATATTGACAGGTTGCTAAGAGTTCCTCGAGGGCTGGAGCCCATCCCGGGAAAAGAGGAAAGCTGCACAGCTTGGCCTTGCCAGACCCATGGAGGCGCATCGCTGACCTCTGTCTTGCCGTGGCAAGAAGCCCAGACTTGTTATATAAAAGATCTGGCCTGCAGCTGGAGCCCGAGCAAAAACACATAGCCTAGAGCCCAGGCCTCTAAATCCCGCCAGGGAACATCTGAGGCCAACCCTCCCTTGAGTTGACAAAGAGAACACTCTCCAAGGAGTGGGGTAGAGGCTTCCTAGAAGGTTGGTGGCCGGAAGTGACAGAGATGGGGAGAGGTGGGAAGCCCGCACCCAACAAAGGGGGATGCACTCATGAGCTTGCACACCAGAAGCAGCCTCGGGTCCTGTCCTCCGGGGAGCCCTACTTGACTAGATACATTGTTTGGATTAAACACTACTCTCCAAAGAGAAGGGGGTGTGTACTCCAGGCCTATGAGGGCAAAGCAAAAGCCATCTTACTCAGCCTTTCCCAGGGATGCAGGGAACAGCAGTGCCTGGGGCTCTAAGGAAGCAGGCCCCTGCCGTCCACCACTGGAGTCTGTCCTCCCTTCACTTTCTGTTTGTAGATCTAAAGAGGGCCACTGATCTCAGCTGCAGCAAATTCTTGTTGGTTCAAGGTGGGGCATTCCCATGAGAATTCCTCTCCTCTAAACCATGCCAAACATTTGGCCCCATCTCATCCCTTGGCTGGCTGTTCACTGGCCTTCATGGAACTGGCATCCAGACTCACAGAGGCCAAATCTTGTTCTCATTTCCTTATCCTTCATTCCAACATGCCGAGAACAGTACTGGGCATTTAGATGTTCACTAGCAACATTTGAAAATGGATCTCACTAAAATAAATAAATAAATAAAAGAAGGGGACCAACGGGACATGCACAAAAGAGGAGGTAGGGGATGTGAGTGCACGGAACACTTTCACGCTTGGCTGTCACTCCACCTGCGAGCAAGAAGAGTGGGCACACGCTCCTGGCTTGCAAAGGAAGAGCCGACTTGCCCAGGACCCCCAAGATACAGGGCCGCTTCTGAGCCCCTGTTCTTCCCACCCTGTTTCCTCTTTCCTGAGAACAACTCATTTGTTCTGAAGTCAAACAGGCATGGGTTTAAACTGTATCAAAAGAGAAAAGACTGGACCCTGAACAACTGCTAAGAATGTTGAAGTCCTGAATCAGATTAAGATATATCTTTGTATGGGGGCGCCTGGGTGTCTCAGTCGGTTGAGTGTCTGACTCTTGATTTTGGCTCAGGTCGTGATCTCAGGGTCGTGAGATCGAGCCCTGAGTTGGACTCCGTGCTCAGCTGGGAGTCTGCTTGGAATTCTCTCTCTCCCTCTGCCCCTCCCCACCCCTGCAGGCATTCTCTCTCCCTCTCTCTCTCAAATAAATAAATAAATCTAAAAAAAAGAGAGAAAATTTTACATAGGAGACGACTCCTTGCTCCGGTCAACACTATCTTATTCAAAAACTCCGGGAAGCCTGGAGTTTGGGTGGATGATCTGCGGAGATTCCTTCCAAGTTTAGGATTTCTTATTGAAAAGACTGCCAGGAAGAAAAATACTGACAGAGAGGACCTGAGCTCCAAAGGACTCGAACGGGCCCAGTGGACTCCCATGGGCTGCTGGCTAGGGCTTGAGTCTTCATTATCTGAGAGCTTTCCACTCTTACTGCTCCAGCAGGATCTATCCAGGCTCAACACACTTTTGGGGCCTCTCTCCCAGTTGTCTGGGGAATACAAACTCAGTTGAATGTTGGCTTGCTTAATTTTAGAAAGGTAAATCCCATTTACCTCATTTTCACGTAAGTTTACAGAGAAAACCAAGCTGACAAATATCAGATGCTGAAAAGCCATATGGTGAAGATATGCAGCCAAAACCCAGGACAGATCATTTCAGTGACCAAGAGTTGGTAAGTAGACCAAAGGTCTCCTCAGCCAGTCCCCACCCCCCGTCCTTATCCCCTTAGGAGAGCACGTCATTACCTGGGTGGCTTTGTCATTGGTACAGCAGGTGAAGGCCCCATCGGCATCTCGTGGCCACTGGCCCAGAAGGTAGGAGCTGAGGATGGTGTCCAGGGAGAATGTACGCCGGACCTGGGGTGGCTGAGGCCTACACACTGACTTTTCTGGGGCCACGGAGCATGGGACGCTGGCTGGAAGAGAGCACAGCCCGCACACCTTGACATCAGCATGGAGGAAGGAGACGAGGTAACCAACCTTCTGTCTCCTAGGAAAGCCTCACCTGACGGCCACGTCTTCCCTTGTATACACCTCCCTCCTAAAAGATTCTTTGAAGCGGCCCATAAAAGCAAATACAGTCTGACCAGAGCTTTTCTGACTTAACCAGATGGCCTTTATCACTGGAAGCAATTTACATCATTTTATTTTAGACAAGGGCTTACTTTATAAATGTCTTCTATCTTTTTCCTGTTCCTAGTGGACTATGAGCCCTGAACTCCTAAGTCTCGGATTGAGTTCCAGAGAGCAGGACTGTTTCCCATCATTAACGAGGGAACTCTAAGGGGCCCCAAACCAGTCTTTTATCCCTTGCTCTGCCTCTCTCCAGCACCCACTGCAGGGCTCCTAAGCACTGCACAAATTCAACCCAATTAACTGAAGGACTCTTCATACTTCCTTCATGACGGGTTAGCTCAGGGAACCTAGGTGACTGAGACAAAGAGAACAACAGAACTCCTTTCAACCATCCGGGATGGAGGAATCCAGCTTAGGAAAATCAGTCTTTTGGTTCCCTCCTCTGTCTCCCCTCTTCTGGCTAAATGGGACAAAAATAAAGCAATTATAAATCCATCTATTTAATTTTTACCTTGGTTAAAGCTTTTTGGGAGAAGGTAAAAATTGAGACTGTTGATAAAATGTAAGGGTTCTGGAATCATCTGTAAGTTTCAATCATCTGTCTGGGTTGACCCTGCTTTCCATGGCCACATTCAAAACATCTACTATCTTAAGATCTGTAAAGCCTCTTTCCTTTAACAGAGCAAAACATTTTCACATCTGTAGTAATCCCTTGATAATTCATGTGTGCATTTAGGATCGTAGGTATAAATAAACTTGAAGAGCTTTATATTAAAAAGACACCAACAGGTTGGCAGTTCCTCAAAAAATTAAACATAAAATTACCATACAATCCAGCCATTGCGCTTCTAGGTAAATATACAGAAGAACTGAAAGCAGGGTCTTGCGCACTCATGTTCATAGCAGCGCTATTCACAACAACCGAAAGGTAGAAGCAACCAAATGTCCATCAACATATGAATGGATAAACCAAATGTGGTGTATACATGCGCTGGATCATTAATTTCAAAGGGGGATGAAATTCTGATACATTCTACAATACAACGAAACTTCAAAACATTATACTAAGTGAAATAAAACAGACACAAAAGGACTAATATCGTATGATTCTACTTCTGTGAGGCAAAGTCATAGCGACAGAAAGTAGAATAGAGGTTACGAGGGACTTAGGGGGTGAAGGGAATGGGGAGTTATTATTTATGGGCACAGAGTTTCTGCTTGGCATGATGATAATTTCTAGAAATGGATAGTGGGGATGGTTGCACAATATCGTGAATGTACTTAATGCCACTGAATTATGAACTTAAAATGGTTAAATGGTAAAATTTATGTTAAGCATTTACCATGATAGAAAAGCAGATGCTAACAACACTGTATATTCTCCAAATCCATTTACGTATTTACACACATTTTGACATAGTAGTAATCAATGTGAAATATACATTATGTTCTCCTTTGTTCTACCCATTTCATATACCCATTTCCAGGTATCAACAATCTACATATTTGTCATTTCCAATGACTACATAATATCCCACTAGGTTGGTATACAGTTGTCCACTTGAGGGGTCTCCCTGCCCACAATCTAGATATCACAAATGTTACTGCATGGATAACTTTCAGTCTGTTTTTATCTAATTCCTGGCATATTTCTGAGTCCTCTCCCTCAGCTAGCATTGTGTTCATTTAAAAGAAAATGATACATTGTAAAAGTAGTAAGTGTGAATTGCAGAAAGGTCAGGAAATATATAAACAAAAAGAAAAACCTCGAATCTCAACATCCAGAGATAATCACTGCAATACTATGAGAGAGATCCTTGTCAGCCTGACCGCTCTGTGTAGGTTTTAAAATAAAAAATGGGACCATACTATACATATTGTTTTGCAATACGTTTTCACCTTATACCATGAACCCTCTTCCAAATAATATATATTGACCTACAAGATATCCTTTTAAAAGATCTTAACATTTCTGTTAAAACTCTTCAAAGGCTCGTTTTCGAAGACAGTAGCCAAAGGCCTCATGTTCTGGTCCCACTTACCTTTCCTGTACATTTCACTCCTCTTCAAGGTCTCTATGTCCTGGACAAGCTGTACTATGAACCATTTCCCACCCATATCCTGTGTCTTCCCTCCTCTGAGGTTTTGCATAGGTGCCCAGAGTTGAAATCTGCCCCATGCGTTGGGGCCAGCCTGTCTTTACACCCACAAAGCCTTCTGGATTCCCTGGAAGGATTTTCTGATTTTCCCCAGCACTTTGTACTCTTCTAGTACTTAGAATCCTCTCTCTTGGATTATGGGTATTTTAACTCCTAGATAATAAACAACCCGCGGCCAAGGACTGTCTCTAATTTATCTTTGTACCCCACACAGTGCCGAGAACATAGGGCTGGTGTTTGGCAGATGCCTAAGTATTCATATAAAATAAAAAACCCGTTACTACAAGGGAATACCTGCTCTAATTATATCATGGATTTGAAGTTTGTCTGCCTTGCACATCCATGTTCAACCCGCCCCCCACGAGTAAAGCCCCTAGGGCTGCCTGTCTCTACCTCTCTCTGGCTCAGGAAGGCCTGGCCTCTCTCTTCTCCTCCCTGTGCCTTGTCACCAGTAAGTCAGTGACAGGCACGCTGGGTTCAAGCCCCAACTTCACCTCCCACACTAGCATGCCAACCACCCTTTCTCCTGTCCTGGGTTTAAGATCAAAAGGTGTCGATCCAGATATTTTGGGGAGGTTTTGACGCATGCTGGCAGGCAGGTCAGACACAACACTGCTGCCCTGTGGGCCTCCGAAACCGTCTGGGAGAGCCTGGGGATGAGGCGGGCGGCAGCCCCAGAAAGCAAGTTTACGGGAACACGTGACAGAGCAGCAGAGAGGCAGGTGGGAAGCCGATGAGCAAGAGGCCACCATAAAGGCCAGAACACGGTGATCCTGACAGCTGCTTCAGCAGCGAGGAGGGATCTCTGGGAACAGCCTCGCCCAGCCCTCGGCAGAAACTGCAGCAAAAGCCTCCTGGAGATTTTCTTTTACTGAGACCATGAGAGCTCTTCGGTATTTATATAGAACTTTTAAGGTTCACCCCACCTGCACAGTCCTTTCATATGGGTCTTTTACTCTCCCATCAGCCCCAAAAGGGGCTTGGGGGGATAGTAAGGGAACCGAGGCCCCCCGGAAAGGGCCAATCTCTGACTAGACTAGGTTGCCCACGAGGTCCGAGGCAGTCCTACGCCTAAACCCAAGCCTCCTTCCTCTTCAATCACCCCACTCGGGCTCCTGGCCCTTTGGCATCAGGAACGCTCTCTGAGGTTGCAGGGGACACCTGCCTAGACACCTGCAGGAAGGACTGTCTTTTTTGCTCCTTTTCGGGGAAGGGAGTCTTTTGATAGCAGGCATTGCCCAGGTGTCTGTACTGACTTTCTGTTTTTCGGGTTGGTTGGGTTGTTTTTTTTTAAGTCTTTGAAACCTTGGGATTCTACTATCTCCCAGGGACAATTTAAACCACACGCGTTTGGTATCAGTTCGCATTACCCCTCATATCCCACCCCACTCATGAGCTACAGTAGGAATCCACTCTCAAGGGCAGCCATCAGAGATGGGACCGTACTCCCAGTACTCCTGGGGTGAAGGAGGACCCAGAATCCTGGAATTCATGGTGAGAATCCAACCATCCACTTTGGTCAACTCTACATGCTTTCTGGCTACCTTTGACCAAAGCGATTCACAAAGACTCTGAGGGCGTCATGGGTCCTGACTTGCTCTTCCATATGCAAAAAAAATTACACAATAAAAATAAATAAACAAACAAACAAACAAACAAACAAATAAATAAATAAAGGAAGAAAACAAGACGGGGGTGGGAGATAGGAATGGAGAGAAACTGAGCTCCCCAATCCAGGACCAGTAGCCCCTGATGCCCTCCTCTCTGCCAGACCTGCAAGGATCTCACTGCATCCAAGTCAAGCTGGAGGCCTTGCCTCAGTTTCTTTTCCCCCAAGGAGGCAGCCGGGCCTCAGCCTTATTTCTAGGGTGACCACAACCTCCCGCTGCCACAGCTCCTACCAGTCACAAGGTGACAGAATCACCTTCTGTCTCAGAGACCTCAGCAAGTCCCCACTTCCCCTCCCCAGCCCCCAATTCTTGGCATGTCCCGACACCTCTGAAGAGAGTTAAAATGGCAGGTTTCCTTCATGCCCAGAAAATGAGGGGGGCCACTTTTTGAAAAATTAGATTTTGATAGGAAATGAAAAATTAGCACTTATTTCAGAAACCTTGTCCTAAGTGGTTTGGTGAGCACCTGCTAACATGGGCGCCAAAACTGATGAAGGGCTAACCCGATGTGCCAAGTTCCCCCCAAGTGCAACACAAACTAAAGCTAGAATCAGACAGCGACAGGTCTTGTGCCATCGTCCAAGGGGCAACAGGCTGGAGCGGTGTGGCCCCCGAATGGCCACAAGAGGCTCAGATGTGAGGGACCCACTTCCGACCGAGGCTCTGCCTTCCTCCTGATGGCACTGCAGTCAACACACCCAACCTCCCTGGACCTGCTCTCCCACCTGGCAAGCGGAAGCTCAATCCCAGCCTACGGTTACTTCCTATCGATGCCTTTAAGAACAGGAGGGGAGTTGCAAAACTGCTTTTAAGTCTTCACTAAACAGATTAGGTTGAACCACTTCATGTCACTTAAACCATCCCTCCTCCACAACTCTTTAGGATAGAAGGTGGGGTAAAGGAGCCTAGAAAAGGATTCAGCCCAGAAAAGACACACAGAATGAGTTCCAGCCACACTGTCCCTTGGGAAGGTGTACTTCTTTAGCGTCAAAGCTTTGACCGGTGACAGCC